ATTAAGAATATACAAAATGATATCCTCGGTATCCACCTGAGATCCAGCCGCCGCTATGTTATCCACGAGCGTTTTTATTTCCGCTAGATATTGAGACATGGATGAGTTCTTGAACGATATATTGTGTAATTCGTTCTTTAGCTGAATGACTTTTGATCGATTGGTGGATTGAAAACGGGTTTCAAGAGCTTTGCGAAGATGTGGCATTCGACATCTTAGGAATGCAAGATCGCCCGCTCTGATACCATAAAGAGAGTTACACGCGGGATTTCAATCTCAGAGAGCGAGGAAGAAGACGGAGAGCGTACAGAACAAGAGAAGACATAAAGTGAAATCTTTATTATCAAGTGTATCTATTACAGGAAAGACAGGACTATATATAGACAGAATTAAGCTGAAGTGAGAAGTGTCGGACCAATGAAATACAGCCAGCTCATTTCTATTTAATTACATTTTGTGTATTTACTAATAGTCCCCTCTCGTCTTGTTGCCTGAAGCGTGCATCAGTGCATGGATGAGTCATTTACGATGCTACAACTGCCGGCAATGAGCTCCCCGACTTGTCGTCCACTTTCATGTTGAAAGTTAAGATAGCTCAACACTTGAGCTTGCCATTCAGTTCCAATGCTTGGAACCATGCGTGCCGCAGACTCGTTGAGCCACTTATGCCTCACCCTGCCTACGTCGTCGCTTGCAACCTCATGTTCTATTTTTTAAGCGGGTCGGGTCTGGTCAACTCTGAAATTTGACGGGTCAAGTTCGGATTGAAATAGCTGACCCGTTTGCAAAAATGGGTCGGGTTCGAATTGGTTCAACTAGTGTAGGGTCAGTTTCGGGTTCGACCTGAACCCGACCCGTGACCCAATTTTGATAACCCTAGATGTGATATACTTTAGAATGTCATTAAGGCTTCTTTTGGGACAGTTTCTGTAAAACAACTTTATAATAAAAAAAAAAAATTATAGTTAAAGAAATTTTCGTACTTAAAAAGCTTCTTCAGAAAGCATTAAGAAAGTTGTCCCAAACGAAAACTAAGTCGAATAACTTCATGAGAAAAAAAGACTTTTCCGACATTAAAAAAAAAAAGACTTTTCCGTCATTAATAATGTCTGCATCCACTCTTTCGACTAGCTATAAAATGTGTCATTTTGAAGAAGCGATCGATAACAATGAACAGTTTATCTTCCTTTCCCCACATCATCATCAGTAAGCCCATCATAAAGTTCATACAAATATTTTCTTATATATTGTTGGATATGAGTAGAGGAGCCTAGAGCCATATATATATTTTGAATAACCTTGGTGGCTTGATAAACTACACAGCGACAACATGAAGTTGGAGATGCCTTTGTCATATTCAAGGTCAGAAAAAGAAATCTTTAATAGCTGTTATCATTTTTTTCATGGCCGTTGTGAGCGACTAATGTTTTGTTTGGGACTATTTTCTTACTGCTTCTTAAAACAGCTTTTTAATACATAGCTGCTTTAAGAAACAGTAAGAAAGCCATCTCAAACGGAACCTAAGCCTCCTGAACATAGACCTGATCAAATACTCATAGGGTAGTTCATGTGATGCAAAGCAAACTACCTCAAAATAAATATTGCAAGAAAATGATTAAAATGGTCCCTCAATTTTGTATGAACGATCAAATTTGTTCTCAATTATATTAAATGATAATTTTGATCCCTAAAGTCTTTAAAAAGAAATCAATATTATCCTATGATAGAATTATTTTAATTCCTCTATAATGATTTTATGGCCCATTCCTCACCAAAGTCTACATCTTCAATTTATGGGTCTCTGAGAGCATCAAACCCCACTAATTCAATTTACAATGTGATAATTCATTTAGCTTGTTATCAAAGAATTCATTATTAAAGAAAATTTTTATGGATTAGGACCCACCAAGTCCTTCATTGTTTGACTATTCATATTCTTAAAAAGATGGCAAACATCCATTTGAAGGACAACAAGATTGCTTAGGAAATAAAACTATATTTAACTAAAAAATGAAAAATATAAGAGAAAGTGGAAACAAGGCACTGGAGATGATTGAGGTGTTCTCAAAGGAGAAATTATTCTGTGCGTAGATCGGGCACAACTCTACGTCTGGAGGCGAATCAAGTGCAGCCATGTCAGCGGTACCGAGTAGTACCGAGTTGCGGTACTGAGCAAATGGGTGATATGACATATTTTAGTTGGTCTCGGGACGGTATTTGATATTCGCACAAAATAATTAATCCATAGTAGAGGTGGTGCCAAGGTTTTGAGGAAGGCATTGCGGCGCTTGGGATGGAGATAGAAGGTAAAAGAGTATAGATCGAGCTGAGTTCAAGTCATCACTAGCTTGAGCTTGGCTAATTAATCAAGTTTCAATTCAAGTTCGAGGTTAATTCTACGAGTTTGATCTTGCTCATTATAACAAAAAAAAAAAAATGAGCATGATCCAAGCAGTTATTATAATAAAATTATAAAATGATAAATTGAAGATAAATCATAAAGAAACACTTGATATAAGAAAGTAAGATATGATCATTTTAGTAACTTCGTAGTTTAACTCCTAAATTCTGACATATTTTAAGTGTATTTTATATTAATATTTTTGAACGAGTCGGCTTGCGAGCTAATAACTCAAGGCTGGCTCAAACTTGACTCGTTAGCTCATTGAGCTTGGTTCATTAACTGAGCTCGAGCTAGCTCACGAGATAGCATCACTCACTTACACCTCTAGATTGAGGTATTTCCTTCCTTTGTTACTTCATACGTGGGGTTGTGAATTATTTGATTAAAATCTAAAAATTGAATCGAATTGATCTTATTTGGTTACTGTAGTTAATATATTTATTCATTTATTGGTTAAGTTACATTTTTTTTTTAATTATTGGTACAATTTTTACTTTTATTAAACTAATAATTAAAATCAAGAATGAATTATATTAATTACTTAAAATAATAAATCAAGAAAAAAATGTAAATAAATAAATGACATAAATATCAACTTGAATTTTATTTATTCTCCATGCAAAATTATAAATCTTCACAAAGATTAATTTTTATTTTTCTCAATATAAGTTATTTCAGTTAAAAATAATAAGATTTATTATTAAATTTATTACATTTTTGTTCATTGGAAATCGACTCGAACACCTTAAGTTAAAATTCGATTCAATTTAATTTAATTTAAAAAAACAATATAATTTCCATAAAATTTTTAAGTTTTGTAACTTAAAATTAATTAATTTATTTAATTCATAAATTCAATTACTCAAATTAAAAAAAAATGCACAACTTTATTTATATGTGACTTATCTTACCTAGATAATATTTGATAAAATTTACAAACCCTGATTTATATGCTTTTTCTCAGCAGTTTGCTTGATGCTTAAAAAACAGAAAGTTTGCTTGATACTTTTGGCCGGTCTGAAGTCTGATGTGTGGCTTACGAGAAATTATTTCGTCTAAAGTCCTGACGGGAAGAATCGTTCAGACATGTGAATGTATATACTGTGTATAAATTTGTACACAATGTGTATCAATTTTTTATACACTGTGTGTACAATCACAATTTGAACGGTTCTTCCCATCCAGACTACGAACAAAATAATTTCTCATGGCTTACAGCCAACATCAGTACTGTTGAATTTTTTTTTTTTTGGTAATTGATAATTATATTTGAAATTTGGTTGAGAAGCATAAATTAGGGCTTTAATACTTTATAAAATACTTTTTAGTACAATTTTTTTTTAAATTCAAAAAAAATTTATACTAAAAGCTACTCTAAAAAGCAGTTAGGAAGTTATCACAAACGAACCTTAAGTTAAATGTTGCAGGATAAGGATGCTCAAATAGATGAGTGGCTTTACACTTAGACACAAAATGCAAATTGAGTATATACGTGAAAAGCTTGGATTAGCTCTAGTGGCAACTAAGAGTAAAGAGAGTCGCTTTAGATGATTTGGTGATATAAAAAGTTGGCCTTGCAATGACTCTGTTAGGAGAGCAGATGTATTAAATATCACTTATATTAAAAAAATTATAGATGAACATAAAAATACTTGGTTATAAAGCTATAAAAAGGTGAATTTGACTATTAATAAAATTAATAAATACTGCACAATAACTATCAATAAAAAGATAAGCAATAGTATTGATTAGAAAATCAACAATGTTATCATATAAATAAAGATGATAGCAACAACAACAATAAGAACAAAAATCTCTCTATCAAAAGATGTCCTTAGTCATACCTCTTGCCAAATTATCTTGCCTAACTATGTCATCATGTTCTTATCTTTCTCAATGATCATAAATCAATCATGAAAAAAATAAAACCCAATGTATCATTTGCCATACCTTCGGATTCTCATTTTGATTAAAAAAAAAAAAAATCAAGGTAACTTGATACATAACATATCAGGATAGGCTTCATGCCCCTAGATTTATATTGAGATTAGTGTTCTATATGATATTCTTAATTGCAGTACTGATTGTAGCGCATATTTTACATCTGATAAGTTGCATTTTTTTGGGGGTCTTAATTAGCATATTTGATTACTTGCTAATGCCTATCTTATCCACTTAAGAACCCATTTAATCATAGTTATTATTATAAAGTGCTTGTTCTATCATTAAGCTTAACCACCATAGCTTCCAATCTCAGCAAAGTGATACTTTGACATTCTAACAATTTCAAATTAGTTAATTCAAAGAACTCAATTATAACAAATCCCACCACATATCTCTCTCATTACCAACCTTGTGCCACATTGAATTATGAAGTGCTAGTGGGCTCAAGGGAGATTTTTTTTTTTTTGGAGTTTCTTTTAGTATTATTCTTAATTTGATGGAATTGAATAAGACATACTAACAAAATATTCTCAATTTTGTTATAATTTAATTCCATTACATCATATCTATTAGATTGTGTTCATTCCATATTAATAAAACTTATGGTGGCATATATATATGCATTAAAAAAATTAGTTAGTGAACAAAATAATTCTGCATAACATATAATATTAAATAAACATCTATAAAGTACAAATTAATTCATTAAAAAAATAAGGTTACAACCAATATTGCTCTCTCTATAATTCTCCATTATGAAGGAAAATTCATAGTTGACATACTCACACCTTGATGAGAAATAGGAGCGAAGTTGAGCATAAGATAATAAATAATAGAAGCGTAGAAATCACCGCCGATTTTTGAGTGTTCCGAGAGCCACTAGCAAGACTTGCAAGCCAATAGTCGTTTTCTAGCATAAGGCCTCCTCCTGGTGTTGTTGCTCCTACTGTTGTTGGACTAGTCACAGGTACTTTTGGACTAATTGGAGGATCTTTTGATGACTTTTGACTATCCATAAAAAACATATTAATTATAAGATTAGTTTTATAAACTTTATAGGAACAGTTAATTTCATTTATTAACTCTCTTTTTAGTACTAATGTTGTAGCATGAGATCAAGACTTGAAAAAATGATTATTTTATGGTTGTCTAGGCTAAGTAAGGCTTCGTTTGTGATGGCTTTCTTATTGCTTCTTAAAATAACTTTTTAGTACAAAAATTAAATTTTTTGCATTAAAAAGCTGCTTTAAAAAACAATAAGAAAGTCATCCCAAACAAAAAACCTAAATCAAAATAGAAGATTCATAATTAAATAATAAGCGGCATTAATTGAGATTTGTTCTCATTCTTCTATTTCAATTTGATTAACTCTACAACCATTAAATAGATCTACATTATCTACATTGGTGTTATTAAAGAAATTAATTGACAATTGGTGTGACATATTCCTAAATCAAACTATTAGTATGTGGCATCTTCTATTGAGAAAATGACTCTTATCAGCTTTAAAAAAAATTTAAAAAATGGTACAAGTTTATTAAAATAGAAATTTTTAACTATAATACTAGATATTTCATTATTGAAAAAAAAAAGTTTAAATGAATAAGATATGTGAATAATAAAATATTTCTTTCTAAAATATTTATTTCTTGTAAAATATTTACATTTTATACATTCCTCCACCCTTATGCATATAAATTAAGAAAAAAAAAAGGGAGATTTACATACAAAACACTTTATTTCATGCTATTTATATATCTAACACCCAAAATTTTAATATTATATTCCTATCACTCATATAAAATTTTAACATCAAATATATCACTTATATATTTCATTCTTACCAACCATACCATCTTATAAACTTTAATATTTCATTCCATGCAATCATTTTTATTATAAAGGTAGTAGGCATATAATATTAAAGTTTTACGTATTAGATATGTAAATAACATGATCCCCAAAAAGTTATGACTTGATATAAATTATTATCAAAATATGATTAAAATTATTAAATCTATTTTTAAATTAGTGTCATATAATTTTTTATATAAAATATTAATCTCAAAATATAATTATGTCCTTTCATCTCAGCATTCCAAAAAAAAACTCAAAAATGAAAGCAAAAGTTTTATCCACATATCATTTTTCAAGTTAAAATTAAATTTACAATTTTAAATTCATTAAAAAAAAAACAACAACAAAGAGAGGGATAAAAATATTACAAAAGGCTCATACAAAAAATAAATTTAAATAAAAATATTAATATAAATTAAATGAGAATATTAAAAAAATATATTATAGATCATTTTTTCAAAACATAAATTTTAATCATCCTCTAATTTACCCAGCATATATATACAGACACACACAAATTTGACTTAAAAAAATTTCTTTAAAAAATTTTATCAGAATATTCTCATATATATAATACATTTAAATTTTTAAATCTACACTGCATGAAGATATTATGATAAGATTTTTTTTAAATTTTTTTTAATTTAATTTATTCTAAAATCAAGATATTCTTATCTATGTTTTTATTTTTTTAAATAATAAAATATAGTGGGATTTACATAATTGCCGTTTTATTTCATGCTATTTACATATCTATCACTTAAAATTTTAATATTATATTCTTACCACTTATATAAAATTTTATTATCAAATATATCACTCATATATTTCATTCTTATCACCCATAACACTTTATAAACTTTAATATTTCATTAAAATTTTAAGTGTTAGATGTATCAATAGTAGTAGAGATTTTTTCTGTGCGAAATTTGAACACGTTCGGAGGCTAATCCGGGCATGCCACATCATCAGATGCACTGGGCCCCAGTGACGTGACGCGCCCCAATTCGCCTCCAAACACATTCGGATTCCGCGGAGAATAATTTTCCCAATAGTATAGTAGTCGTATGTATGTAAAAACCCCAATAAACAATAAAATATGCGACTTGGATTTATTTCAAATACCTTGGAGTGCCCTCCGGGCAGAATGTAACGGTAAACTCGCCGGCGTCGGCGCAGGTAAACGTCGAAGTGGAATCATCAAAAGCATAGCTATAAGACTTCGGACAAGCCGCCTTAAACACTTCGGAGTACGCCGTCGGCTTACACGCCGCCGGGCTCGCAAACTCCCCACTACAGCAATACTCCGGCCGCCGGAACGCCTCGCAAGCGCTCCGGCAAGCCGCCGTCTCTCCTTCTCCAATCCTCAGCTCCGCCGGACACCTCTGGTTCAAATCCACCACACACCCCGTCGCTGCACACCTCCCCTTACCCCCTTCCACGACCATCGCCAAGTTGAATCCATCAACAAGGCTAACGTCGTAGAAATCAATATTGTTTCGCTCGCCGCCGGCGAGCGAGAACTCGGCGAGGGTCGCCGGAGGTGTTTCGCCTGTGGCGCAGGAGCCGTTGTTGGAGTTGTGGAAAACGCAACCGGTTCGGGCCCAGAGGCGGCCGGACCAGTTAGGTGGGGATTGGAGGGAGCGAGAAGCAGCAGTAGGGAGTTCGAAGCCGGCGGAGGAAAGCGGGGGGTGGCCGGCGTTGGAGAGGATGGCAGGCCAGACTGTGAAGTGGCATTTGTTGATGAAGGTGAAGGTGGTTGTAGAAAGGCATATGGAGAAGAAGGTGGAGATGAGCAGGAGGAGAACGAAACTGAAAGGATTCATTTTTAGAGTCTTCTTTCGAGATTTGCTCTGTTTAGCTCTGTGTTTTTGGGAGAAGACGAGGGACGTTTTTGGAGAGATTTGAGCAGTGGATAGAGGCGGAGCCCATCAAAGAGTTGCAGACGGTGCGGTTTGGAAGCGGAAATGTTATAATAATTTTGTAAAAATTATTTAATTTATTTTGAGATTAGCACAATATAATTTTTTTATGAGGCTCAAAGAAAAATAACTTTTCCTATGTGATATAATCCTATTCATACTAATGCTAGTTTTGTCTTCATATATTTGATCCAAAATTTTAATTTAAAAATATTTAAAAATTTTTGGAATAATTTGGGATGATAGTGCCAATTTAAACTGCTGATATTATAGAATTATATTCATTAGTTTAAACAGTCATAAATCTGCTGCATTTTTTCGTTGCTGTAAATATTGTAAAACTCTATAATTGCGGTGGTTAAAATTAGGAGTGTCAATTTCGGGTCACGGGTCGGGTTCGGATCAAACCCGAAACTAACCCGGCACTATTCAGGTCAACCCGAACCCGACCCGTTTTTGAAAACGGGTCAGTTTTCCTGACCCGATCCCGACCCGCTTCGGGTCCGGGTCAACCCGACACGACCCGTTTCCAACAAAAAATTGCTAGCTTTCGGGTCAAAATAGGTCTATCTACTCTTTTTCGGGTAAAAAACGGGTCTATCTCCTCTTTTTCGGGTAAAAAAACAGGTCAAAATCAGGTTGCCGGGTCAAAATCGGGTTTTCGGGTTAAAATCGGGTCAAAGGGTTAACCCAAACCCGACCCGATTTTTGAAACGGGTTGAAATGTTGAACCCGAAACTGACCCGTTTCGGGTTCGGGTTGACCCTAACCCGAAATTTTAGGGTCGGGTTCGAGTCGGGTTTTCAGGTTGTGTCAAATATTGACAACCCTAGTTAAAACTGCTATAAAGAAATAATTTGATGAAGTGTTCACAACAGTTGCAAAAGTATTGTTGTGAAATACATTTGCAACAAATATTGATTGTGGCGGTCTTGATTTTTTGTGGCGGTTAAAATCACTGCAAAAATCAATTTTAAGTGGTTTGAAACGACTTTTTAATGTAGGATATGTTATGTGTTAGAAAATTTGTTGAAATAGGGTATCTAATATTTTAGCTTTATATAAATATCTAGGCATCTAGCACTCATAATTAGAAGTTTCTAAGAGATATTATAATTTTTACATGAAAAATATGAAAAGGAGGATACCATGAGACCTGATTCAATTGAATGAAACTACTAAATAATGAAAAAAATACAAGAATCCTATCTTTCTTATAAACGAAGAGCATAGGATTATAGACAATTAAGAAGAATTGTCTGATTCTTATTGTATGGAAATAGAAATCGGGGTTCATAAGCGGATAGGTAAAGTCTAGCGAAGAATGAAGATGATAGTGATTGTTAATGCATGATGGCCATTGATGGTGATCGATGGAAAATACAATAAAGTTATTTATCTCTCTCAGTTGTTAAATCTCTCTTTCGGTAGAATATGGAGACCTATATATAAACCTTTTGAGAATGATATCTTATTAAATTTGATTAGAGTAAAAAAACACTACATCAAATGATCCATATAAATTTCCTTGATCATAGATTATTTATAAAGTATTTGCGTGTCTTAATGATGGAAAGAATCAAATGATCTTAGATCATCGGATTCATCTCCTCAAACCGCTCGATTTGACCATAAGCATACAAGATTTGGAGAACATTTGATTTTCCATTATTGTTTAGAAGATTTCTTTGCGTTGTAAGTATTATAAAAATCGGTTGTTCACAAGTGAATAGTTAAAGTCTGACAATAGGGTTAGAAGTTAATAGTCAAATATTAATCATTAGATGATAGAAGTCTAATAATGGTGACAATGATTACTAATGATGGTCGCTAGCAATGATCCTTCGAAATGCAATAAAGCTTCTTAGCTCTTAATTAGCACTCGAAACTCCCATTAGATAGAAAATAGAGCCCTACTTGTAGCATTTTTAAGAGGATCATTTTTAGCAAATTTTTTGGTCAAATATCAAAACAATTCAGCTTACGTTCCACATACATTTCCTTAATGATAGATTATTTATCGATCCATCATTTAAGTACCTTAATGATGTCAGAATCAAATGATCTTAGACTAGTTGGATTTGCTTCATCAAACTAGTCGATTTTACCATAACCACATGAGAGTTGGAGACGGTTTGCTCATTGAATTATTGTTTAGAAGTTTCAAATATCCTTCAAGTGTTTTACTTTGGCACATTTGGACTTAAATTAAATCATTTGTGGTGCTGATGGATTAGTATCGTCGAGACATCCAGACCATAAGATCTCTGAAATCAAAATTTTGTCTTGAATATAATTTTAAAAGTTTTAAATTCAATCAATTGCTCCAAACTCATGGATCAATCGAATTATTTGAAGAAATTTATTAGTATTGAGATTTTGTATTTATACAGCATTTAAACATTTAAATTATATATATATATATATAGTCCCTTTGAAAGGATAGTGTGACCTAACCCAAGCAAAGAAATGCCAGATGTAAATATCTTAGGAGCATTAAAAGTCGTGCGCAAGCTGATTAAGGTACGAGACGAGCAACATTTATTTCGGTAGCTGAATTTTGGCTTATTTAGTAAGCCTATTCAATAATGGGGAGATTTCGTTTTCATTCAAATAAATTAAAATAATTATAATATCATACTTGTCTGTTATAAAAAGATATGGTCATGAACATTTTTATTTCAAGAATTTGGCAACGATATAGACTTAGGCTTCGTTTAGGATAATTTTTTTATGCTTATTATAGTAGCTTTTTAGTATAAAAATAGTTACTTTATGAAGCAATAAGAAAGATATTCCAAACGAAGCCTTATGGTTCCTTAGGCTTTATTTTGGATGACTTTTTTAATGTTTTATAAATCAGTTTTCTAGTACAAAAAATTTTAGTTAATTTTTTTTTTTTGTATTAAAAAACTGCTTTAGAAAGTAATAAGAAAGTTGTCTCAAACGAAAATTTAGGCCCATTCTAGTTAGTAAAAAAAAGAGGTTTCATATAAAGAAAATGTTAGCTAGGATTTTTTTTTCGATGTTATAGACTTCTCTTTTTCCATCGAGTGTTGTATAAATAATATAGCATATTCTTGCTTTCACATAAAGCCTTTATTACTATTTTTTTTTTAAATAGTGGAATGTAAAAAATATAGATGGCATGTAATGTATTGAGAATGAATAATAGTACTTCTTTGTTATGTGAGGATCGATCATGTGTGTAATGTTGAATTTCTAGTATTTGGCTTCCTGAATATGCTTGATTTTGACTTATGGTTATACGTCAGAGTGCGATTCTGGATTTTTACTTATGGTGCGCTAGAGTTCTGATTTTATGCAATATTGATTTTCTGCTTAGGAAGATATAAAAATCCACAACAACTGGTATCAGAGCTCACGAGAAATCAAGATGATGTCTATGCAAAAGATTGAAACTGATAGATTTGCTGATGAAAATGATTTCACTCTTATTACCTACTTATAGAATCCAATATATCATTATTGAGAAAGCACGAACTGAGCCAACTGTTGACCATCAAATTTTAGTTTATTGGAAGAATAAATCATTTATTGTTGATACATATATAGCTGACCAATACTGATTTAGAAAATAATTTAATCTTTAACTCTATAGAGCAAAGTTTAACTGAGCCTGAGGAAATTAATGTAACAAATCACATGAGTGAAGATAATCAAGCTAAAAGCTAAATCACAAGAGGAAAGACTAAAGCCCATTGAAAAGATCAAAGTAAATGGACAATTATAAGACAACAATAAAGAGCCCATAATATAAAATATTTTAATTATACACACACACACATATTCACCTAGAGTCATGTATGGCCAATCATGATCTAGTTTGGTATGAATAAAATATTGAAAATAGGTGTTGGCAATTCCTCCTCATTAATGGCAACCAACCCCCTCTTTTTCCTCCCTTTTTTTCAACATTTTTTTCTTCTCAAAAGGGTTCGCCCAATAGATCTACAATGCCTAAAAATGTGGCATTATAATTGTTAGCTTTTAAATGAAATATTTTTGGCAAAGAATGGGTTCTTCAATTGCTTGGTATTTGGTAGCTTCAAGTGTGAGCATTTTCTTTGATCAGAATAAATAGCTTTTTTTAATTTCTTTTAGCTATTTACTAAGCCTTTCTAACACATGCTATAAAATACTTACACCTCTTTCTCCACTTTAGAAGCATCCTCACTATCGATAAACTAGTAACCAAAATGTAAAAATCTTTCCATACACTTCCATATAGTTCTCAATCAAATTATGGAACATTAGGACTTAATGTTATTCCTTACACCTAAGCATCTCTTTAAACTCCACTAAACTCTTTCATTAACTCATTACCATAATCTCACATCCTAGGCTAACCCTCCACCATCATTTGCAGGCACTAAACCAACATTAAATCAATTCCCTAAAGTGATCTTCCATATCAACCCAAATGAGATTAAATTGGAGTAGTCTTGAAATTCTTACGATAACACAATTTTCAACCCCTCATCATTCCACTATAAACTTCAAAACACTTCTTTAAGCATTAAAGTAAATATCCATAGACTTTTTTAGCTATTAATCTCACCAAAAGATAACCCTTTACCATCATTAGGCTTTTGAGAGAAGGGTTGGGAGCAATTTAGAATTTGATTACAATAAATTTGTTTTTGTTAATTGATCTAATTTGCAAGTTAACCGATTAAAATTTCTTAATGAAATATTAGCCACATATTTTCACTTTCCTTGAAATCAATGTTTTTGCATATTAATTTTCAGTAATTTAGAAACATCCTATTTCTTAGATTAGTTTCTTCAATTTGTGTTTATTAGTAAATCCATTTCAAACCTTGAAATGAAGCTAAAATTATTTATTCAATCTTGTTACTTAGTAATTGCAGTATCTGTGGGATAATATATTGACTTGTCACTGTATTATCTTTTTGATCACATACTCTTGCGCGACAATTATTTCAAAACAAGTTTTTTGCACCATTATTGGGTATTGCTTTATTAGTAATATTGATAACATATTAATTTTTAGCTTTAATTTGAATTTATATTTTAGAGGTTTTCCATAGTGCATGAATCACATCCTC